AAAAAGAGGAGGAACCCAGTATAATTGAAGAAATCAGGCGAGTTCTTAGAGAGAATCTACCAGAAAAGAAGGAAATCCGGTGTTGGAGATGTGGAAAGCTTGGACATATACGAAGTCGTTGCAGAAAAAGCCTGGAGGCGCCGACTTCATCTGAGTCGGATAGGGTCGAGGAAAAGGGGCCACCGTAACCAGCATGCCCCAGAAGATATTGAACGTGTTGCTTCTCTTCTACACCAGTCCAGCAGTGTTTGTGGATGGTTTAATTAATGGAAAATTACATGTGCTGCTGCTGGATACAGGTGCGACGAAGACAATTATTAGGCCATATATTGTCGAAATGTCCAAGATCAAACCTACCAATCGGCGACTACGTACTGCAACAGGAGAAACCGCTACTGTTCGTGGAGAAGTGGACATCACGATGGTCATAGGAAACACGAAATTTAAACATCGAGCATTAGTTGCAGATATTGAAGATGAAGTTATTGTAGGCATGGACATTATGAACTCAATAGGATTTGAACTGGACTTTAAGCAAGGAATATTGAAAGTTAATGGAGAGGAAGTCGTATTGCATCGATCGAAAGAAAAGAATATTCGTGTAATGCTAACAGAAGATGCTTTGATACCGGAACACAGCGAGATGATATTGAAGGCTTTCTTGGATTGTAAATCAGAAGATGGAAGTATAATGCTTCTGGAGCCGAGAATTGATGACAAAGAGGTCGGTCGAGGAGTTGTAGTAGGGAAGACTTTAATACGTATCGGAAAAGAAGTGCCTGTAAGAGAATTGAATGTTAATGGTTACTCTGTGAATTTGAAGAAAGGAATCGTTTTGGGAAACTGCTCTTCAGTTTCCTCGATTATTAGAGGCATTCGTGAGTCTGCAGTTCCGGCCAAGAAAGTTAGCAATGAATTGACGAATCTTCTGTCGACTTCTTCAAAGAATATGAAACCCAATGAAAGGATAAAGCTAAAAGAGCTGATTCACAATTATCAGGATATCTTTGACGACGGACAAGAAAAGAAGGGTAGGACAAGAATTGTCCAGCATAAAATCAACACCGGTGATGCACAGCCCATTCGACAGTCGGCAAGAAGGCTACCACTTGCCAAGCGAGAGGAAGCTGATAAAATTGTGCAAGAAATGGAGAAGGAAGGGGTGATCGAACCATCCAACAGCCCATGGTCTTCCCCAGTGGTGTTAGTTAAGAAAAAGGATGGATCAACTCGATTTTGCGTCGATTTTCGTCAGCTGAACAACGTGACGAAGAAGGTTAGCTACCCTCTGCCTAGGATAGATGACACCCTGGATACATTGGCTGGATCCCAAATATTTTCGACTTTGGATTTGAAAAGCGGTTATTGGCAAGTTGAAATGGCACCAGAAGATAGAGAGAAAACGGCGTTTACCGTGGGTGCAGGACTGTGGCAGTTTACTGTCATGCCGTTTGGACTCTGTAATGCCCCTGCAACTTTTGAAAGGCTCATGGAAATGGTTTTGAAGGGACTATCCTGGAAGACTTGCTTGGTGTACCTTGACGACATTATTGTGGTTGGAAAATCATTTGAGGACCATATGAAGAACCTGAAGGAAGTTTTTCAGCGCTTGAGAAGTTCCGGCCTGAAGCTTAGCCCAAAGAAATGTCACTTGTTCCAGAGGGAAGTGCAGTATCTGGGCCATGTCGTTTCAAGTCAAGGAGTTGCAGTTGATAAACAGAAGGTAAAGACGGTGTGGGAATGGCCAATACCGAAGAATAAACATGACTTAAGAAGCTTTCTTGGATTATGCACCTACTACCGTCGGTACGTACCAGGATTCGCAAAGGTTGCTAAGCCTTTGACACGTTTAACAGAGGGAGAAAGACGATTCCAATGGGACGACGAATGCCAAGAAGCCTTTAAGAACCTGAAAAACGCATTGACCAGCTCACCAGTCCTGAGTTATCCACTTCCAGATGGTGAATTTATTTTGGACAGCAATGTGGGCCTGGGAGCTGTTTTGTCGCAAATTCAAGAAGGAAAAGAGAAAGTTATTGGATACTTCAGTAAAACTCTATCGAAACCAGAGCGAAATTACTGTGTTACTCGACGCGAGCTGTTGGCAGTGGTAAAGGCAGTCGAACACTTTTACCTGTACCTGTATGGAAGAAAATTCTTGCAAAGAACGGATCATGCTGCCCTTAAATGGCTTTTGCAATTCAAGAATCCTGAAGGACAGGTAGCAAGATGGATTGAAAGACTACAGGAGTTCGACTTTGACACAGAACATCGTGCTGGGACCATCCATAGAAATGCTGACGCCTTATCGAGAAGGCCTTGCCCGGAAGACTGTAAACATTGTCTCAGGGCCGAAGAAAAGGATGTGTTTGTTCGCAGGACTACAATCGTGGATGATCATTGGCAATCCGCTGAGGTTCAACAAGACCAAGAAAGGGACCCGGATTTGAAACTTATCATCGATTGGAAAAATAACGACCGTAAACCAAAGTGGCAGGAAGTCGCCCAATATTCGCCGAATGTGAAATCCTACTGGGCCCAATGGAATTCCATCATCTTAAGTGACGGGATTCTAAAGCGCGTTCTGGAGATGCCAGAAGGGGGGGAAGACCGGGAGCAGATAATAATCCCCAGAAACAGGATACCAGAAGTGCTGCAGGAAATCCATGATGGAACTACTGGAGGACATCTTGGGGTGACCAGGACGCTCGGAAAACTTAGGGAACGGTTTTATTGGGTCAACAGCCAACGAGATGTGAAGGAATGGTGCAAGAAGTGCGCCGTTTGCGCGGCAAGCAATGGACCCCAGAAGCGCCCAAAAGCCCCAATGCGACAGTACAATGTGGGCAGCCCATTTGAGAGAATTGCAATCGACGTGGCGGGTCCATTTCCGGAAACAGAATCTGGAAATAAATACATCATCGTTGTAATGGACTACTTTAGTAAGTGGGCGGAAGCATACGCCTTGCCAAACCAGGAAGCTGCCACAGTGGCCGATGCCCTTATTAAGGAGTGGATTTGTCGTTTTGGTGTGCCAATGGAGATGCATTCAGACCAAGGCAGGAACTTTGAATCTATACTGTTCCAGAATGTCTGTAAGATTCTTAACATTCGGAAGACGAGGACGACTGCATTACATCCGCAGTCTGATGGAATGGTAGAACGAATGAATCGAACGATAAACCGGTACTTGTCCAAGGTAGTCTCTGATCACCAAAGAGACTGGGACCGCTTCCTCCATCTGTTCCTATTGGCGTACCGTTCTTCTATCCACGATACAACCGGCCAGACACCCGCTAGCATTGTTATGGGACGTGAACTTCGTCTACCTTGTGACCTGAGGTTTGGTTGCCTACCAGGGGATGATATTGCTGGAGAAGATTACGTCAACAATTTACGTAGGAAAATGAGCGACCTACATAGCCGAGTTCGTTTAAACATCCAGAGTGCCAGTGATAGAATGAAAAAGGCATATGACATCAAGGCGGAAAATGGAGGATTTCAACCTGGAGACCTAGTTTGGTTATACAACCCTCAGCGCCGTCGTGGTTATTCACCGAAGCTGCAGACTTCTTGGGAGGGACCTTACGAAGTTATGGATTGAATAAATGACATCATCTACACTGCCGTACTAAGCGCAGAAGCGGTAATTAACATAATGGCTGTCATGAGATATTGGTACTTTTATGTTAATAGCTCTGCCAACTCAGTTTGGTAACATATTGGTTTCAAAATTTGTACAGCAACTTTTTTGAAAATTACTAGTCTAATATCTATGAAATCCATATAAAATTAAATGTTTTTATTAATTAGAATGTAGATACCGCTTTTTATACATTGTTTTTATAGTAATTTTCTAAGGCATTTTGACGTATCAATTAACACAATAGGAAGTTGAGTAAATTGATTATGAAAAAAATATATAATTGAAATAAAAAACCGTATAATTAATAAGTGAATTTATTAAACGTTTTAAAATATACTTATGGAAAATATAAAACTAAACTAACGATCTAATAAACCAAAGGTTCAAAAATCATCTTCGTCCTCAGCAGGTTCATCGTTTTCTAACGGAATATTCTCCCAAAAATGAATTCTGTTACTTGGTATTATGCTAGTGGCACCTTTAATAAGATTAATAATCCCGTTACGTCTTTCACAGGAAATGCCCCTATACGTTGACTGCTGATTGGGATTTGGAATACCAGATTTTAAAATTTTTGAATTTAAAAAATTGAGCGATAAAAGTTGCCCTTCATGATCAGTTTTATAAAATAAATTCATTTTACCTCTTTCAGCAACAATTTGAACTATATCATGTAAGTAAACCTTTTCCTGTTTCAATTTAAATTTCGAACTAAAATTTTTCCATTCAAAAAAGTCTTTAAGATCCATCTCTAGGACATTTACTTTAGAAGAATTGGCATTTGAAACTGTCTTTTTAAAATCATTAAAGTCATAGATTTTTTTAAACCTTTTCATGGATTGTTCCACCTGGTGGTGAAACGAATCCGCCGACATAAACGTATGTCCGGGCTCAAAGTAATTTATAATTTAATAATTTATTCTTAAACATCTCGCACCTGGGTAACATTATGACTTTTTGTAAATCTACTGAGAAAATAACCTTATCTTCTGAAGCAGGCTTCTCAGCATCAATTCTATAATTAATTCTAGCTAATTCGGCTTTTTTTATGTGCATCGTCCACTTCTGGCAGGTATTACAATCTGGAATCAAATTATTTTTATCATGGTCATGTAAATTAAAATGTTCGCAATGTTCACATTCTTCATGACCCAATTTGACAAACGATATATTATGTTTATGCAAAACGGACCGGTATAAATCATATGAACAAAAGTTTGGGTTTTTTGAATTAAAGTCGTCATACAAAACTTGAGCGGACAGATCACTGGGTAAGTATCTGCGAAGAGGAGCGTGTTCGCGTCGATAATGTGAAATTGTTGGCTTGAATGATTCAATGTGTTGAATAACTACGTCATGATTTTTTTTTATTTGGTGGGCTTTTTCCACGTCTTTTGTCCTTCTTAGGAGTAACTATGCTTTTGTTTTTCTCCATAATACTTTCTATTATTTTATCGTTGCTTTTTTTATAACCCAATGTTGTTAAAAAAAATGTTTTACATATAGGAATAGACTGCCCTTCTTCGTTTTTCAGATAGTACTTATTCGTTGACAATCTTCGCGACTCTTCGACAGTTTTTCTTTTTATTCTACCAGTTACAATGCAACCCATCACAAAGTTTTTTTGGTCATGTCGGTTCATATTCCAAAACTGTTTGTTTATGTCAATTCTTCTTTCATGTATAATATTCTGTCTACATTTTTTTCTACAAGTTTCTCCACATCCTTCAAGAACATTGTGTTTTCTTTTCATCTTCTTCATACTCTTTTCTCTCCTTTCAGTTACTGAATATTTATACTTTTTTCTTTTTCTTAAAGCTCCCTTTTTCGTGTATTCTGTTTCAATAATTTCAATATTGCTGTCACTGTCCTCATCCTCTACTTCTTTAGCAATTAAAGGATTATCTTTTATATCACATACGTAAGCATTGATATCATCAACTTCAGGTTGATAATCAGGGTTGTCGCTGCTCTCTCTCTTATTATTATTACCAGATTTAGGTTCATATAAATTATCTTCAAGCGTCGACACGGTATGAAAGTCTGGACAATTTTTCCCTTTATTTTTTTGATTAGTCAAGTCCACTATAATAAAATTGGACTCAATTCCAGTAATATTCTCTACCACAACTGTGCTGTTATCCGGGATAACGTTGGAAAATTCTGTAAAAGCAGGTTTTTCAGAAGGATACGGATCTACTTCCATATCTGAAACAATAAAAATTTTCATAGGAAAATTTTTTGTATAACGTACAGCTTTTTCCAGTCTACCTGGTTATTTCATGTCTTATTTAATACAAAACAAGCTACAAAGTATAGAAAAAAATCAAAACAAAAAATAGGCTTTTTGAGCGTTATTGGCGTTGCTGTTTTAAAAACTGTTGAGTTGATAAATATCATATTCAGGTTTTTTGTCACTCCCGATAGCTCTAAACTTATTATTTTTTAGTGAGATGGTAGGCAAAAATAATACCGACTTACCCAAGTTCAAATTATCTGCAGCTATAACACCAGTATTATCACTATGATAATCATTATCAGGAAACGTAACTGGAGTAATATTAGTAAGACAATTCATATTAACGAAAACGGGATTGTCAATTACATTTGCTTGATATAATAATAATACCCCTGGAGACGTTTTATTATTATTAGAAAGGCCTTTAGGGACTTTTTTATAGTTTTCTTTATCCTCGTCATTAACATTTGTATCATTACTTGTTCGTTTTGAACCCATTCTGCAGAAAAAAGGTGAGGTTAGAAATAACTAATAACAAGAAATGTATCTATTACAGAACTTTTATCACTAAAATTTAATAGTTAACCAACACATGAACATGTCATGTGGTAAAAAATACAAACTTGCACAACACAAAAATGTTATAGTATATTACACTACAAGGGCAGAAAGTGTGAGATTCCTGCACTGCGCGCCATCATGGCGCGCAGTTCAGGGCTCTCACACTTTCTGCCCGTGTAGTGTATACTATTTTTCTTGCTACCCGGCAGAAAATACGGGAAAAAATTAAATGTGTATAAAAAACTTGTCAAAATTAAAATCTGACGTTTAATTTAATTCTGACGTTTACATTCAAAATCAATCAAACTGTAGCGTTGTCATGGTAGCGGGAGGAAATAAAACTTTTCTTACTACCTCGGCCGAAAATACGTATAGCTTGACCAATGCATAACACGTAAACTTTCTGCCGTGGAATCGGGGACGAAACAACGTATTTTCTGTCGGGTAGCAAGAAAATTTCTTATTTATATTATAAATAGTCAAGCGGAAAATCACTTCTAAAAGTAATCAACATACTAAGGTATGTTGGCGGTAAGCATATGGTTGCTAAGGTTTTCTTGGGGTAACTACAATTTACTAAGACCTTTTAGCGGTAACTGCTGTAGATACGCCCCCAATAACTTAGTATGTGTTGCATACCGCTAAATGCCATATGATTTCAATAAGTATTTCTCAGATTTGTAGATACCGCTAAAAATATCTTGATATTTCAATCATTTACTGACAAAATACCGATTAAAGTAGAGATTTTTAACCCTAGTTTCATATTACGGGAAAATGTCAATTTCCTTTAAATGTGCAGTTACCGCTTCTGCGCTTAGTACGGCAGTACAGGATCAGGAAACAACCAAGAGGAAAGCCGAAAGTGATCCATTTTAACTGATTGGCTCCTTACGCTGGAAACAATGATGACCAAATAAACGATGCTAGAGTAAGGAGGGTTAATCCGCCGGAAGACGAGTTGCTTTTTGAAGACTTCATGTATTTATATTCGAGCGGTAAAAAAGCTCGGTATGGTGTCACTCGAGAACAAAAAGATCTGTTCACGGTTTCGGCCGATTACTCCTTGGCTCACTGTATTGCAGAAGACCTAAGGATGTCCAGGAGAATTATCACGTTTGATTGCCCGGTAATAAACGCAATAATATAAATAAATTTAACAACTAAATTTATTTAATAACTTAAAATGAAAACCGCTCCGGGTTCGAAGATTTAGGTTAACTATTGCAAACTACTTACCTTAGAAATAAAGTTTTGGCAAAATCAAATTAAACTAGACAGCTAATGGTTAATGAATCTATTGAAACTTTAAATCAAACACTATTTAACCCCCCCTGTTATAACTGGCCAATTATAATAGGTTTACAACCTCTATTTATAATATTAATAATCAGTAAAATCGAGAATTATAATCAATATTTGCACACAGCCGGTCGTGAAGCAGCGCTTTCAAAGTAATCTAATATTTGGGTGAATCTGACCTTTGAGTTTGAGGGATACAGGCTTCTGAAGGACGATCTCGGCACTATATAATCGGCATACGATGAAAGTAGGTTTGCCTAGGTATTAAGGAAAACTAGAAGACGGCACTGGTCTTCCGGGTAAATTGTCACAAAATGGTTTATCTATGACCAAAACTAAAAACCCTAAAAGAAAGGATTGTTACTTTTCTTTATGGAAAACAAAAAAATAGATTACCTTAAAAGAAAGGGTTTTCAAGCTAAACAGCTAACAGAGCCGAAGATGGTAGATGGCTTCAGTATTGAAGGTGGTTAGAAATCCGTAGACATCCAGCTAACGCTGTGGATTTAGGCACTTTACACAAATGTAACTCCAACACAGGAACTTGACCTTATCCAAAAATAGTACTGACGATAGTTAAATCCCTTAGTAAAGGTTAAAGAAAATTTCTCAACTCGTATCGTTCAGACTGACAGACTTTTCCACCATTACTGTTTTAATAATCCAAAAAAACTCACTTCCTTCAGCTTCGACAATTTAGAAGACGCACATGCGCAACAGAAACCAAATAACTCAACTTATATCTAAAGGCTAAAAATGAATAGTTCCGCTTCGTCGAATAAAATAGTGGCAACCCCGCTATTTCGCTTGTTAGACAAGTGTTAACAGATCTCATTACAAAGAAAACAAGAAATTAAACCCATAACCAGATAAGTGAGAATAAATAAATATAATATTTATTTTATTTATTATATATCAATTATTTTTAATAATGTTGCATATTATTTACCAAATACAGTTTTCTTTTTCAGGCCATCAAAATATCGCGATCGGAATAATTCAAGGACGATACAACGTCATCAAGTAAAAGAAAACAAGAAACAACAAAAACAATAAACACTTGTAAATACAAATTATCGTTTAATTTTTACTATCTTAACGAAATTAATGATTTAGTATTATCAATTATAATTAACCAATCCAACAGAATTTTTGAATCGTAACAACTCCCCCTTTCCTTCCAAACAAGTAAATTTCATGGAAATTTACTTGCTTATTTTCAAAAATTCAAACAAAATTACTCATCGTTCGCCAGAAAGGCATAAGGCTTTAGATCCTGGACATGCCACATGCCGCAATTCTTCCCGGAGTCATCCGATAACTCGTATGCCCACCGACCTACCTTACGACTTATTTTAAAGGGACCGACAAATTTTGGAGCTAATTTATAATTAAAATTATCTGCCGCATTGGAAATAGCTTTATTACGACGCCATACCATTTCGCCTACCGCATAATGAACTGCTCTACGTCTAAGATTATAAATGTTTTTACTTCTATCCGCCGCGAGTTTAATCCTGGTAGCAACCGTATCAAAAAGTTTTTGAAAACCTTTTATTTTGTCCGTGATTGAACAATCCTTTCGAGAATTGTTAACCGAAGAATCAAAATCAGAACCAGAATGTATATGTTCTCTTCCAAAATTTATGAAAAATGGACTAAAACCAGTAGTCTCATGTCTGGCAGTTTTGATAGCTAAACTAATAGAAGAAAGATTGTCAGCCCAAGTTTTCTGACTACCACGTATATAAGAGGAAATCATAGTCTTCACCACACGATTAACCCTTTCGCACGGATCAGCTCGAGGCCAGTATAACGGCGTATAGCATATTTTAGAATTATATCTCTGACATAAAGTTTGAAACTCTTTAGACTTCATTTGCACACCATTATCGCAAATAACATACTGAGGTACACCATATGTCAAGAATATGCCTTCCTCTATATCTTTAGCCAACAATTTGGCGGTAGCAGAGCGATGTGGGAACAAGGAAACATACTTGCTAAAATAATCCGACACCACTAAAACATAAGTGTAACCTTGCGTTGACCTAGGAAAGGGACCGATATAGTCAAGGCTGATAACTTGCCACGGTTGTTTGATTTCAGGACGAGAACCTAATAATCCCGCGGGTGCTTTTTGTTCCACCTTTTGTTCCGAACACACCCTACAATTTTTTAGTACCTGGAGATGTCCGCCTTCATTTTTGGCCAAATATATTTATTTCGTACCCTCCAAAACGTTTTAAACACACCTACATGTCCCGAGGTAACATCATCGTGATACTTCACTAAAATTTCCTTTCTCCTATCCTTAGGAACGACAAGTTTCCAGGAATCTACACCATCGGAAAACTCAGATATCGAGGGTTTACAAAATTTATATAACATGCCATTTTGGATAGACCAACCAGGATATTTAACTGGATTATTTTCGATTCGAGAGATCATCCCATGATACCATTTATCGGAGGTATTTCCAAAAGAGGAAGTATCCACGTCGACCACATCGACTAACGCATCCACCGAACGACTGAGCATATCGGGCACCACATTATCCTTACCCTTTCGATGAATCATTTCAAAGTCATAGGGCTGCAAACGCAAAATCCACCTAGCTAGTCGCCCTTGAGGATCCTTCATATGTTGTAGCCATAGAAGAGAGTAATGGTCAGTAATTACCTTAAAATGGAAACCCTCCAAATAATGGCGCAGGCTTTCGATAGCCCAAATAACCGCCAAGCACTCCCGTTCGGTTGTGCTATACTTTCGCTCTTGAGAAGTCAAGGATCGAGACAGAAAGCAAATGACCCTTTCACCTTCAGGAAATTCCTGAGACAATACCGCCCCTATTCCATAACCTGAGGCATCAGTTTGCAAGATGAAAGGGCGTTCGAAATCAGGACAAGTTAGGATCGGAGCAGATATCAAGCATTCTTTTATTCTCTTTACCGACAACTCACAACTCTCAGACCAAACCCATTTTTTATTTTTCTTCGTAAGCTCTGATAGAGGGGCAATTATAGTGGAAAAATTTGGAACGAATCGACGATACCAAGAAGCAGTTCCTATAAACCGGCGTATTTCCTGTATATTCTTTGGGGACGGTATCCGGAGAATTGCCTCAACTTTTTCTGGGTCTGGATGTAATCCAGATTGGTCAACTATATACCCTAGATATTTGAGTTGAGGTCTGCAAAAATTGCATTTCTCGTGACTAACCACTAGCCCAGCTTCTAATAACCTATCGAAGACTTTCGTGAGAATGTTAAGGTGGGTTTCAAAATCCTTTGTAACAATGATGACATAATCTAAGTACACCATTACAAAAGGTTGAAGATCTGGGCCCAAAACAGTGTCTATAAGCCTTTGCCAAGTAGCTGGGGCATTAGTAAGCCCAAAAGGCATAACTTTAAATCGATACAGTCCATTAGGTACGGTAAACGCTGTAAAGTCTCTGGATGATTCAGCTAATCCAACCTGCCAATATGCACTTTTGATATCTAGGGAACTAAGATAGCGAGCATCCCTAAGCCGGTCTAAGATGGAGGCTACATATGGAATGGGATAGCTATCCTTTTTAGTCACAGCATTCAGCTGTCTATAATCAATACAAAAACGGTAAGAATTATCCT